TTTATGTCCAAAATGTGTCCCACCACCCTTGAAAGTTGGCCGAAGAGAAGAAGACGCTGATTAGTGTATACTGGGCAGTGAAGCAAAAAGTGGGAGACGGTTTCGCATCTGCACCCGCAGCTACAAGCTGGACTATTAACAAGTCCTCGACAGAAAAGACTGGCGTTCAAGCCGCAGGTGCCTATGCGAAAGCGTGCTAAGAGAACAGAGGCGTAACGGGGGCCGATAACTAAAGTGTCTGACTTTAACAGGGCGAACAGATTTCAAAAGGTGTATTCGAAACATCGGATAACGAAAGCTGCGTGTTGACGAATCTAATTTGTTCCAATGACTTAAAGAGTACGGAAGAAAAGACTTCGCAAAACGATTTGTAGAAGCGTAGAGTGATCTTAAGTTACTCTTGTTGCGAAGGTCATACGAACATGTTGATGAAAAATTTGGAGGAATTAGGTCAGACAGATAACTGCGAGTAGCACCATGAATGATTTTATGAAACAACAGAAGGCGATGGATGTGTCTTCTGTCAGATAAAGTCTCCCAGCCGAGTTCTTTGCGAGTAGAGAAGTACGACGATCCTTTGACAGCACCTGATACAGTGAGAGAACAATAATACTGAATACGTTCTAAGAGCTGAGATTCCTCACATGTACAGCTGTGCCAAACGATATCTCCGTACTCTAAGCAGGGACGAATAAAAGACTTGTACAACGTTTCCAGAACATTCCGAGGAAGTTTAAATTTTAATCTCTTAAAAGTGGCAAGGCTTTTAGAAATTTTGGACAACATGTTGTTGATATGAGGTTTCCAAGACATATCAGAGTTTAGTGTGACCCCAATATGCTTGTGAGACACAACAGACTTAATAGTACAGTTATTTAAAAAGAGAGGAGGGTGTACTGAATCAGATCGTTTGGTAGAAAAACACATTTCTTCTGTTTTAACTGGATTAAGTTCCATTAACCATTGAACAGCCCACGAATGAATTTTTTCCAAATCAGCATTTAAACAAGCAGCAGAGTAAATTTCGTTGTCAACAACATGAAGAAGAGAACTGTCATCAGCAAAGAGGAACGGCTGGGAAACAAGATTTTCCACGATGTCGTTAATGTAGACGAGAAAGAATAAAGGACCTAATACAGACCCTTGTGTACATTGTGCACAATGTACATAGTTTACATACATATAGTCAAATAATGCTAAGTACAGAAGACACAGGGAGGGAAGCAGCTTTGTAAAATTTTTGTGAGAGTAAATGAACACAAATGCTTGTAATCCATGTATGATAAACAACATGACTGTGTTCTTACACGTAAAACTGAAGCAAGAATTTGAACCTGCTGTACATGCTGGAACTCATCAGCCCTACTGTAGATAATGTAGATACCAGATTCTTACATCATTGTAATGTGCCCAGAACAAAGGCCTTTCGTTTGTTTTTAACACATTACAAAAAAATATGTACTGAATAGAACATGGCCTGGTCGGGAGAGACGTCTGTCCAGCTGACCAAAATGGCTGATGACTGCCAGAGGTGGAAAACGTTTGTGGACAGGCAGACTGTCCATACAGCCTGTGGCTCCAGGGCAGAGTGAGTGAGAGGACATGGCCTAGACTGTCCAAACAAGTACCACCACATCCCTACCTGTTTCTCCTGGCCGTGACTTTGACTCTGGTCTTGTTGGAAGTATTGAAAGGATTCCTGGACCAACTAAGATGGAATTTTCAACAGATAGAAAAAGGGTTATTCAAGAGCAAACATTTTGAGTTTGAATAAACGCATGAAATTAACAGATAACACAACAGGGCAGTCTATGCAGCAGTACAAAAAGGAGTCCTATTTTTCTGAAGTAGTACAAATGTATATTGTGGAACAATTTCTCTAGTAGATGATGATCTATGCAGACAATTGTGACCTTTGTGTCAATATCTACAATAAATGTACATGTAGCACTGGGGTATAAAATTACCCCTGAGCCAATTGTATGGGTTAGTTAACAGAACCCATCACACTTAGGGCAAGACTAGGGTTAGGATAAGACTAAAGGTCCATCCCAGTGTGAGTGGATCAAACCTTACAGTCTACAAGTACAGAAGCTTGTACCTACTGTACAGCTTACCAGTTAAATGGAACAAACAAACAAAATACATCTCCATTTAGGTGTAAGAAGAAACAAAGGGTGTGACTGTTCTCTCAGCTTACCTTGTCTAGCTCCACACAACCTTGGAACTCCAACTCTGGGTTACGATACAGGATAGTGGACAACACCATCAGCATCTAACACAGGAGAGGAATCTAGTCAGGTTCAACATGAAATATATATATCTGTATCTGTATCTGTATCTGTATAGCCGGTATAACCGCCTTTCGGCGTAACACACCAGCTTCGCAGGCACACGGCGCGGCGGCAGCTGGTTTATATATATATATGTATTTATAAGTTTACACTTTTTAAACTAACAAAAAAGCAAGACAACTAATTGGAATTTGACATTACAAAAATATATCAATTCATAAAGCCCCTGTCACACATTCATAACCTTCACCTGGACATCAACCAATGAAGGTTGGCTGAAGTTTGGAATCAGATCTAGGCCACTTGCACCTTTTGATATGAATCAAATCAAATCTAAGTTACATTTGAGTCAAATTTGACTTCAAACTTTGCCCCAACAAATGCTGACCTACTCTCAACCACCAGCCAAGCAATTCCCAACCACGGCCCAACCTCCAGTCGGACCAGTCCACTCCTGAATGTTACAATCATATAAACATTCAGCTGGAGCAGTTGAACAATAACCAACCTCGCAGAACCACAGCCGAGCACCAGCCAACCACAGCCGACCTTCTGCTAATGTATGCCAGGGATTATAAGAATGCGGTTTATGACTTTCCATGTGATTTCACCAAACAGTTTAAGTACAGTCATGTAGGTTACATGTACTTGTGCTAGTCACCTACATGTGTACTAAGGTATTGTATGTGTACAGACCCAGTGGAAGGCAAATGTGGAAAGGGACCAAGTGACAACACTGAACCAAGTAGAGAAGGATGGCCTATAGGCACAGGAGGAAAGGCAAAGCCTCTGTCACACATTCAGAAGCTTGCCCGACCTACATTTTGACCAGATTCAGAATATTTATATTTTCTATACAAATCAAATTGAATATTTCTATACAATCATTGTCAAATCAAATTGAATTTGAGTTAAATTGAGTCAAAATGACCTTTGAACACGCCCTGAACATTGCTGACCAACTCCCGGACACCAGTCAACAACCAGCCAACCTTGCATCATTTCCACACACATCTAAACATGTCTGAGGGTTTCCACCAGGCATAATTGTCGTACTGAAGATGACAGAATGGTAATCAGAACTTTAAACATTCAAGTAGTTTCCTGTTTGCCAACCTGATGAAATTATTCAAGGATCACAGTGCAATGTTTCTGCTGGTCAATGGACAGAAAGACTTAATGCGAATTCATTCTCATTCGCATTCCGTGGGGTACACTGTTATAACTCACTTCCACAAAATATCATGCAACAGACTTCATTGAAAGGTTTTAAAGCTGCTCTTAAGAACATACAATCTTTTTAGTCTTACATACATGTATGACCTCTGACCTCCACAGGAATAACCGACCTTGACCGATCAATGACTTTTGAGTGACGGACAACGATTTTGATTTGTTCTCTACAGTTTTGTTTGTCTCTAAGTAATCTCATGTATTTATTTTGTATAATTTGGTTACCTGCGTTATTTATGTTTTACATACAATTCTCTGTTACTTCTGTTTAAGTATTAACTTATGTTTATTGTCTTCGTCAGAAGGACTATGAAATTGTCTCGCCGGAGTGTGGGGAACTGCGGATTTTGCGATATAACTCTGGAAGGCATGATTCGACGTCCATGATTTTTGGCAGGCAGATTACCGCTGTTGAGGCCGAAGTCAAGTACAAGTTTCGGCTTCGTGGGGGGTCCATGCGTCACGTTAGTGCACCTTTTGTGTTGGTGGCTTGTTAGCAAGATAACTCAAGTATTTGTAAAATGTTGATTATAATTCTTGGTGTGGTGCTTACTATTGTCGGGACCAAGGTTAAGTTCGTTACTGAGCTTCGTGGGGGGTTTCGTTGTGACTACAGGGGGCATTTTGTTAATTTTTCTTGTGAGCAGGATAACTTTTGTATGTGTGGATGGAAGTTAATGAAATTTGATAGGCATGTTACTGTCGTGGTCTCCAAGATTGAGTTCAAAGATGAGAGTCGTGGAGGTCATTATGTCCCCGTAATAGGACCTTTTGTGTTTAGAAATCCCCCACCTACATCTGCTTGGAGACAGCAGACAGCTGGATATAGCGGGGAACCCCATAATGGGATGGGATCAAATGACGTTACATTGAGGGATTGTACTATAACTTCAGCAGGGGGAGGATAGGTTGGACATATGTCAGGTTATTTTCTACAGCCACACCAAGTAATTGCTATGGATGACGTCCACTGGAGACCTTAAATCTAATTACCTTAAATTTAAGGCAAGCGCGCAATAAAAACACGAAGGGCCGAAAAACGAGATGCCTAGATTTGGAATATACTAACTGTAGAAGTACAAATGTTAGGACACAAAGAACACAAGAAACAAGTCTTCTATTCGTCATAAAGACAAATTAACAAAACAGCAGTAGTAACCCTGTTCTGATTCTTTCCTTTATAACATCTTCTCTTCTCTTATATTTTGCGGTGCTGTCGCGACACTTTCAACACAGTAAGAATTTCTTGAACGTATTTTTTCCAGTAACAGTCCAAACTCAAATAACGTAGGGGGGGGGGGCTAACACGGGTGACGACGCATCTGTATAATCTGCGGCAAACCGTTTCAGGGTGTTCTGTACCATAAAAATAGTACAGAGATTCTTTTGTTCTTTAGACCAAATTGATCATTAAAAAGAGTGAAGAATACGCATGTTAATTTCTCTAGAACGATGTACCTCTGACGAAGACATGAGATCTCCGACCTCTAGTTATTTCTGTAAACTGGGCCCCACTGAAAATCAACTTGTCAAAGCTGAGTTGGGCTACCCAGGTGTGTTAAAATGAAATAAATAAATAAATGCAGGAGGGTGCCATGGTAGACAGTAACTGACTTCTCCTTTGTCATACCTCTACCATAATCTGTCGGTACTCCGGTTGGGCAATCCTTCCCAGCATCCTCTCCACCAACAGGGCAAAGTTCATCTCTGACAGAGTCATGTCCGATAAAGTAGGTTGCTGCAAAAACAAAGTTATACATGTATGTATATGATATTGGTTACTGTGACAGTCTATTGGTAACTTTTTCTTGTTTTTTTTAATTATTATTAATTAGTATTCCCTCATGACCAACTGCAGTATGATGCCAAAGCACTGTTTTATGCTTTTAAACTTAATATATAATTTCCTTTTACTATTTAGATCACCAAAAGATTATATAATTTGTTCTAAGATCACAAAAAAACCCACCCATTATGAAAAAAAAGTATACTAAGTCTTTTATTATTCACTGCCTTTGCAGGAGAAGTAAAACTCATAACAGCAAAGTTACATGTACGTGGTACATTTTGTAGTTGTAGCTAATTAAACAGTAGTTGCATTGTACATCTGCTACTTCTTTACAGTGTCACTTTCAGGCACAAGTTTGCAAATAAAGATTATGCTTATAATAAATTGCTGTGATTGTGATGTGTGTTAAGCCGTGTTTAAGTGGAATCACCCAAACCGCGATTCGGGTAACTCACATTCCTCACATCTGGTGAAACCGTGTCCGACCACAGCTCGCTTGAGCTACATTTATTGCTGTTTGATGATAACACGCAAGGTGGCGTGTTATTAATGTCAGAGGTCAACAACCTGATTGCTGATGCCCCCCTCCCAGCGTATCTCGGCCGAATGCCGACGTAGTACTGCCAGAGGCAGTGAAGCTCGCCCTAGAACGGACACATTATTTGACCATTATTGCTCTTTAAGTTGCTGCCACGTAAAAGTTGGTATTGCATATAAATAAAGAAATATCACCCCGTAATCCATGACCAGGCGAAGTCACATTGAAACCACATTGCGTTCAGACGCAAATCGCAATGCGGGGAAACCGATTCAAAACCACCTCTAGAAGTGGCTTGGGATCGAGGCGCTTTCAATGTGATTTCGAAGCGTTCACATATGGAGCCACTTGAAACCGGCCTCGGCGTAAACCACATGTAAACCGCCTTGGGTGATTTCACTTAAACACGGCCATAGACCTGACCTACATGAGTACATGTACCCACCTGAGGGAGGTGGAAGCCTGAGACTGTGAAACCAGCCGGGCTGCGCTCCAGGATCTGCCAAACTGAGGAAAGGACGAACATACATGTATACATGATTCAGTAGTGCATCAACAGTCACACATGTACAGCCATACACGTTTAATCTGATTACAATGAGAAATTCAAGAAAATAATGTTTTTACTAGACAGAGATCAGGGCACTATATGCCCTAATACTAACCTGTAACCTTACCACAGCTGGCTAATCTTTAAGTTAAACTGTGTCTTCTCTGACTACATGTCCTGAAATTCTTCAGTTTCAAACACTTCATGGCCTTGACCTTAATTAATTTTCTATTTTCTAGACAAGAAAACATAACTAATAATTATCAAATTTTAGGAAATACTGTCACTAAGTAACAAGTAAGCTGTTACCTTTGTCATAGAAGTCCTTTGGTGTCCTGCCCAGAGCACCGTCCAGCTGTCTCTGGTGCAGCCAGTCTTCTCTCTTCTGTGTGAGGACTGTGATGAGCAGCTGTTTGATGGCACTGGGAGACAGACTGTGGATGTCCTGTAGGTGGAACAGACATAGTTAGAACTTAGAGTGCACAAGTCTGGAAGGCATCATTACAAATTAAAGCCACTCCAAGTACTAAAATTTTTGCACCAAAAATTGAAATATTTTTATTAAAAAAACTCTTTAAGTTCATGCCTTGTCATTTACTTTAAATTCACTTTTCAACATATTTGTGCAATTATATCTCTCATATCTGACATTTATGGTTGGCTCTAAAACAGCCCATACATTCAACCTACAGTATACTCATTTTGTGGCACTGCCAATTACCAATATACCAGTATATATAATACAAATGTGTATATGACATTGTACAATTGTCATATAAACATGGCTAACATCTATGTTTCAAGCTTTTAAACTTGTTTAATATATAATCAAAGCTAAAAGTAGATTTAATCAAAAGACAAAAAATATACAGTTCATTATCACTAAACTCAATAAACTTTTTTTGAACTACTGAATGTAATTTTGGTTCCTCAATGGTAGCTCAACAATCTGCAGTCTGTTTTAGAAAAAGGGGGACATTTATACTTTCAAAGTTGTTCTGTTTAATGTACATGTATAGTATACAGTAGTGTTTTATAGGAGTATGGCTGAATGAGTAAGTCTTGATTAAAACTTTACTGTAATGAGCTGGGGCATGCAGCTATAGATCTACTATCTAAAAGACATGGTCCCTTTTACACATGAGTCTGCTTGCTTTCAACCAATACCAATCATTAATCATGCAAATCAAAGATTGTAGGCCACAACTCACCATACTATGGTGCTGTTTGTTGTTGTCAAGATTTTGGGACCCACAAATCTGGAACAGATCAATGACAAAGATGCCTAGAATCTTTCACATCAAGTCATCTACATGTATTTCTCAAGTATTTTCTATAGTATTTATTCTGCAGTCAGCAATTAAAAGATACAAGACATAGTATATTCACTCTCCCCCACTTTTAACCTGAACACACCGGTACTACAGTTACATGTAGTGAGCCATGAAGTCAAATGGGTGAGTGGCTAGGCCAGCGGACACGAGATCGAGAGGTCACAGGTTTGAGCTAGACGTTGTGTCCTTGGAAAAGGCACTTGACGCAACTTTCTTCACTCCACCTGGGAGTAAAATGGGTACCTGACTTTGGATGGGGAGGCAGTGGAAGGAGAGGGATGGGCTGGTGCACCACTGCCCTGCACCCTGCACCACCCCCTGGCAAGCTCTGAAGCCGAGGACACCGGTTGGCATGATCATCATTTAAATTTTAAAAATCCTTAGCACTAACCCACAGTGGTGCTGTCCAATGTTCTGGTGGTTACCTGGTGGGAAATGTTGTTGTTCTGAGCAGTCCAACAGTGATATGAAAATACTGCCTAGTGGACTATCAGACACTGTTGTTGTTCTCATGATTAGGTTACGGAATATTTTTGTCACCAGGACCTGGGTTAATTTTTTTTTAAATCTGGTGATCTGGCTGTTCCCAAAAGAGCACGGCCGCCTTAGGGGGTCGCAGAGGCACATGTCTGATAGTGAAAAAAATGCCCCATTTTGCAATTGAAACACTAAAAAAAAATTATTTACAGGGCAATTCGGATTTAAAAAAAAACTATCAGGATCAACAGGAGCATTCATACTGCTTTTTGCTGATCCTACATGTAGTTGTGCCTGCATCAGGGAATATCACTACGTCACTTTCACAAAACATTGGCTGTATCGCTCGCAGATTCTAATAGTGAAGAGCCTTGCTTCATGAACTCATAATTTGCATGGAAATTTTACCAACCCACCCCCGACCCACTTCTCACGTACTATAAACATTCCCACTACAAATTGCTAGTTAAGATCACGTAAAAAAAATGTGTCAAAACATGTAAAGATCTAGTGAAAGATAAGTGCCCTGAGGATCTTATCTTTCATACATGAAACAAATTTTGAAATATAAATTGGCTGCATCGTAGCTTTCATTGCTGTTTCATTCAACAAAAGTTCTTGCTGATTGTAAAATGATCACTCATCTGTTGTTTCTAATAGGGTGCCAATGCTAGCATTATCATAGCGAGCCGAGGAAGTCAGAAAATCCCCGGATAAATCAATTTGCAACATGCATTCTCTCCGGCAATGTAAAAACCGGGTGCCATTTTCTCATGAATATGCAAGTAGCAGCGCGCTTTCTGCGCTCTGATTGGTTGATCGCCAAATCCGATTTGTGAGCCAAGACACTTTGTGTTCACACTCACGGTTTCGTCTGATCCGACAATGCGGAGCCGGTGGTAACTCTGGAGGATGGCACCCAGGCTACCGAAGCTCCACAACTCCAGAACTCATAGATCAGTACATATATATACGTACAGTGCCGACTCATACATTCCGCAAAAAAACAACATGCGCCGGCCTGTCATATACGTCGCTATGTACTGCCTCAAATTCACAATACCAGCTTTGTTTCCTTTGTTTCCCACACAGGCAAAACCGGTCGTGTGACAGGCTGAATAAAAGTTCTAAACGGGAACTATGCGGCTCCAGATGTCTTACTGAGGGACGACTGCGTGTGCAAGATGTCGGTTAGCTGAGGAATGAATCCCCTCAAATTCACACAGCTTTGTTTCCTTGTGGTTTAGAAACATTTTTATTTTTTTTAATCGCCCACGTGCACTAGTTTGTGGGTCTTCAGAGGATGTCATTCATAAAATTAAGTCAGTGTGGCCTAAACAGGGTCTAAGAACCTGTGAAATCATCCACTCTTTGTGACATGGCTAAAGCCACAACTGTTACGTTACCTGTTTCTTCCCTGCACTGGAAGCTTTTAGTTCATTCTTCATTGCCTGGATGAACCATCTGAAGGACAGGAATAAAAAATCTTGATGAACTGATAATGGAATGTGCAGTATGACAGACTACATGTTACATATCATACGGTATCATGTCAGATGTCATATAGCTTTTAGTAAGCTGAGTCTACCAGCAAAATTTGCCCCTCTAAATGTAGGAAATAGTATTTCAGAAGGTCAGCTAGGATTTTAAAATGTCTACCCTGACATTTACATTGTCCTGTAGAAAAAATGTCAAAGAACCAAGGAAATAAATTCAATTTGGTATGGCCTGGAAGAGGCATTGTGTAACATTTTTTCACCAAAACCTGAAATATTTTCATTAAAAAATCTGAGCGATTGTAATTTACTCCACCTTTAGAGGGGCAAATTTTGCTGGTAGACTCAGCTTACTAAAAGCTATTTGACTTTATTTGACTTTATTTGACAATGTGCAATGTCATATTTTGACACCTTCGCTTTCCAGAATGGCACTTATTTGCAATAAAGTAGGGTTAACTCAACTTCAAGTCATAGTACATGTAATGCAGATTAAAGTTGATGTACCCAACCCTAATTTTCAGAATGCTGTGGAACAGTTCTGGTATTGTTGAGATGATACATGTAGGTTGTAGTCTCTAACCTGACAATCATATACTATGTGCCCTGGATAAAATTGTAACTAAAAATGGCCGAGAACCAAGGATATAAATAATTGTTCTGACGTACCCAACCCTTATTTTGAGAATGCCGTCGAACAGTTCTGGTGTAGTTGAGATGATGTTACCGATGTAGATGATCATCTCCTGCTGTAGAACTGCCTCCCGCTCGTCGTGAGGCATGCACTTACTGTACACGATGTTCTTTATCTCTCCTGGAGACAGAGGGTTGGAAATAACCTCCTCCTCATGACCAAACACTCCCAACGTCACCTGCAACAAAGGGGAGGATGTAAAACATGTCTAAGACATTTTTCTTGTCTTCCAGTGACCCCCACTGTAGATTTCCTTTCATTTCCGTTACACTATAGTACATAGTTCATTTTCTATTTCCATTCTCCCATAATCTATTTATGCCATACCCAAAATTCTAACATCGATTTCAATGTCCAAATCTGGTTGTGAATGTAGGAAGGTGGTGAGTGTGAAACATGTCGAACTTCGAATTATTCTATGAAATTCTCGAACTTTTGGATGCCTCCCTTAGGCCAAACCAATTCAATTTCTTAGTTAAACGGATTTACCCGCTTCATTTTTTTTCTGATTTGCAAAAAAAAACAAACTGCAAATCAACTGCAAAATGCTCATATTTTGTCCTGAACAGTTGAAAACAGTCCTTTCTTCCTAGTTGATACAGTTATTCCATCTTTCAATGCAGTCACTGTGGTATCATTAAAAGTTCAAAATTCATAGTTTAAATTTTGAATCAGCCTTCATGGCTCCTATCATACCACTTTGGGTCATAATCATTACGAAAAATTCATTAACCAAGAAATTAAATTGGTGTGGCCTTATACAGACCCCATGTTATACCCCAGCTCACCTGTTTCCCCCGGACCAGTACACTGGTGATGGAAGGTGCCAGACTGTCCACCAACTTCCCACACAGGCTGGCTGTCAGCCGAACAACAGACCTGCAGGTCAGGTACAAATAACAAACAACAACAAGTTCAGGTTAGTTCACAAGTTACCGACTTGTGGCAGTCGTGGTGGCATTGGCCAGGTGGTCACCCTGGGCAGATGCTATGGCCACCATGGCCAGGTGGTTGGCCTGTTGAGGTTGGTTGCCTTGGTAGGTTTTAATGTACATGTCTACTAGGCTTTTACAATTTTTCTATTTTAAAGTACTTTGTATACTATTAGCTATTTTGAAAATTCTAAGACTGTGACTTTAAACATGTACTACCACCTTGGACAAATGTGATTATGCTTTAAATAAGATTTATTTTAACAAAAGAAACAGACATTCGATCATGATAAATGACAATTTACCACTTTGAATTTAGCTTAATCTGATCATCACACTGACAATTAAAAGCACCCAAATTGAATTTTCAAACTTGATTTTTTGGTCAATTTTTAAGTGCATTGAATTTAATAAACCCAATCCCATCTGTGTGGCAAAAATACAATGTTGCTGTGATGGAAAATGTTGCTTGTTTGTATTGTTGATTGGTTCTGACAATTTTTTGGTGGTTCCAAAAAATAAAGGGACTCCTCACATAGCTTGTTTTCTGGGCTATTCTAATTCCTGAAAGTATGAAATGAAGACAAACTGTGCTAAGAAATGGCAGTAAATGCCAATATGACACAGATTTGATCTTCCAGAATACTAGCATTTTGTTTTGCTGCCCTGAAATTTTGTTAAGTTGAAGATGAAAATTGATGATGACTCACCAGTATTTCATATCTCCTGCCTTCCTACACAGTCTCTCCAGCCTGTCCACAATAGTGCCTGTACAAACATACCAAGAAATAAACAGTTAATGTTCATTGATTCACTCAGGAATTGGTTTTGATTCACCACTTCTGACGATATCACACATCTGGCTTCCAGAAAGTCACCACTGTGACATCTGATGAAAGTTGACCAGTTTGACTCAAAAAGGTGACTGAGAGTTACTTTTATGTGTATGTGTACTGATCAAAGCTAAATCTTTTTTTTAAACTTTAACTTTATGGCTCAATGCAAAGGCAAATGACCACTTGAGCTAGATATAATGGCCTTGAGCTAGATATAATGGACGTACATGAATGACTAAGTGCCAAAAGACGGCAGTTAATGTTTATTTTCAAAGTTTGAGGATTGTTTTCGCAAGGAAAGCATGTGTTTGGGAGGGAGTTCCATAGTTTAGCAGTCCGGGGGAAAGACACTGTTACTGTAGGACTTTGAACGGTGTGAAGATGTGAACTGGAGGAGAACCTAGTGGCACGCTGAAAACTTCTCATCTAGGCGCTCATGAAGTTATCTTTACCATTATTATCATATGTTGCTACCAAACATCAACTTTGAAAGTCTTACTTAAATCTTACCTTCATCAGTGATGAAGTTGGGCCCCTCTCTCTTAAGAAGCACCCGGAGGAGGAGACTTTGTCCTTTAAGACTGGTGCAGGTCTGGAGATGCTGGATAACCTCCCATGTAGGAGAACTACTCATGTCCTAACATATACAACATAAACATTCAGAACAGTTTCATCAGGTTCTTCAATCCAACACTAATTTTAGATCTTATGATGTTTTGGTGGTTATTCTGACACCATGGTCAGGACACTAATGACTAGTACATCTCTGAACTGCACCTACAGGATGTAGGTGTTGCTATAGTGAAAAGGATGTGGTCCCAAACAGAATACGCAGTGTAGATTTCTACATGTATTAACGTCATACCCACCTGAGAAACACACATTTCAAACTAGAAATGCCGACATTTGCTCCCAGCAAATGGCTTCACCACAGGGTTTTCAAGCTACAAGTGCTGTTTTTACTGAAAGTGAGGTATTATATAAATGTATTTTAAGGGCAGACTGAGAATAGTGAACACTATTATAGTCTAAGCACTTGGTGCAAAGCTACCCTTATGCTAAATTTCAGGTCATTTGGTTTTTGTGTATAGAAAAAAATCCCATTTTACATAATTCTAAAGTGACAAACACCAAAAGCGTAATTAACATTCTGTGGGCTTGTATCCAAGGATCTCCCATACCAAATTTCAGGTCATTTGGTTTTAACATTAGGGCACAGGAGCCAAAATGCACATTTTGGTCCGGAAATAGCAAAAAAAAAAAATATATATTTTACACAATTTTAAAGCGGTGTATGTCAAAAGTGTGAATGACATTTTTGGACATGTGTCCAAAGTATCCCCATACCAAATTTCAGGTCATTTGGATTTAATGTTAGGGCACAGGAGCCAAAGAATGTACATTTTTTGTCTGAAAATAGCCCCAAAACCCTATTTTACACAATTTTAAAGTAGTGTATGTCGTGGCGTGGTGAAGCCATAACAATATGTCCTCACTTTGTGGTGTGGTGAAGCCATAACTAAATGTGAAGTGTGCCAAAAATGAAGAAAAACTTGGTGTCCCTAAAGAAATTATAACAACAAGCCTAAGTTGATGTCTACAAACACAGCTTATCTTGCCTATTTAGATTATTTTATGGAACTTTTGAAAGCCTGTGTGATAATGGTTAGTACCCTGTGTGATAATGGTTAGTATCCTGTGTGATAATGGTTAGTATCCTGTGTGATAATGGTTAGTACCCTGTGTGATAATGGTTAGTACCCTGTGTGATAATGGTTAGTATCCTGTGTGATAATGGTTAGTACCCTGTGTGATAATGGTTAGTATCCTGTGTGATAATGGTTAGTACCCTGTGTGATAATGGTTAGTACCCTGTGTGATAATGGTTAGTATCCTGTGTGATAATGGTTAGTACCCTGTGTGATAATGGTTAGTACCCTGTGTGATATGGGTGGTCATAACATGGACCAAAACACCTTATCAAACATTATCACAGCCCAGCTGTGACAGAACACCCATGCAGTACCCACCTCCATGGACACATCCTCCTCCTCATGATGTAATGTCCCGGTGGAAGCCTTCCTTGTGTGCCGGTCCAGAACATGACTGTCCTCCCTCTCTTCCAGGGGCTTCACTTCAAGACTGAAGACAAAACAGAACAGATATCTTGGCTAAATATAAAATGATGACTGTACTTCCTTATACACTTAGTCTAGCTAGATTTACTGTTACAGTACTGGTACTGAACTACCATCATACACTGTCCCTGGTACTGAACTACCATCATACACTGTCCCTGGTGATGAACTACCATCACACAATGTCCCTGGTACTGAACTACCATCACACAATGTCCCTGGTACTGAACTACCATCACACACTGTCCCTGGTACTGAACTACCATCATCATACACTGTCCCTGGTACTGAACTACCATCACACACTGTCCCTGATAATGAACTAATATCACACACTGTCCCTGGTACTGAACTACCATCATACACTGTCCCTGGTACTGAACTACCATCACACAATGTCCCTGGTAATGAACTAATATCACACACTGTCCCTGGTACTGAACAGGAGGTCAGAGGTCAGGAAGAGGGCAGCCATCTTTTTTAGGTATGGGAACTGGAGGGATCTGAAATTGGTAGCAAACTCTATATAAATCAAACCATCCAGTTTTCCTCTTGTATTTTTACATTAGGTGACTCTCTATAGAGTCGTAATGAAGTATCACTTTTTAACGAGAAATGATTTTAAACTATCAAAAACCCCACTTTGCTATCATTTTGGTAAGTGGGAGGGGGGTGCCACTTGTTCCGACCTCTGACGTCTCCGCATTTCTTTAGTTTTGAACAAATTGATATACCATAGGCTATTTTATCAAATGTGTTTAGATTGTGTATGTTTGATGGTTCTTTTTCAAGGGTTTTGTGATTGTAATTCATGACTTTTGTAATTAATTAGGCGCCGGGTCAGCGGCAGCTACATGTTCAAACTTGTTCTGATCTGTAGATTATATTGTAGTGTCTACTTCTATTTAGTTGCCCTCATCAGTGTATAATATGTGCTATGCAAATTGCTCTTATGTGAGGTTTAGAGGTAACCGGGGAGGGTTTGCTAGAAAACAGAAGTACTGTAAAATTAAACCATTAATAACTGATAGACCTGTAAAACATGTAAATTACTATAACAACACTTACAGGAACAATCTTCATAATATACACTTAGAACCAGCTGTAGCTGTGAATACTATAGAACACAGCAATAGGGCTCTTCCTAGCTTACTTCTGTCAAATGTCCGCTCACTTACTAACAAAAAACAGGAGTTAGAGGCCACTCTGGCCTGTCACTCAGTTCAGATAGCCTGTATAACTGAGACGTGGACTACTCCTCTGATCCCGGATGAAGTTCTGTCGATTGAAGGTTTCAAACTGTTCAGGAGGGATAGACAACACGGGAAGGGCGGAGGTGTAGCTTTGTATGTTGCTGATGCCTTCCCAGCTAAAAGACTGCATGAACTTGAAGTCGATGCTCTAGAGGTTCTATGGCTACAAGTCAGACCCAAGTGGCTACCCAGATCCGTTCCAGTACTTTTTATTGGAGTGGTATATCATCCTCCATGCAATAACGACAAATCAGGGTCTGCCGCCTTGCTGGATTACCTTATTAACTCCTCCGACACTCTGTACCGCAAACAACCTCATGCTGGTCTTCTGTTATGTGGCGATTTTAACAAATTGCCCTTCCATAGGTTAGTCACGGTTCATCCCCAACTGAAACAAGTAGTAACTCAGGGAACACGGGGCTCGGCCACGTTAGACCTGATCTTTACCAACTTGGCCAAGTACTACGACACACCACGCACCCTGGCACCGATAGGAACGAGTGACCACTCAAGTGTCCTTCTATCGCCCGGCAGCCAACAGCCACAGAGGTTCAAAACAGCCAAAGTCACTCGAAGGGTAGCTACGGTTGTAGGAAAACTGAACCTTGGGCTATCACTTGCCAAAACAGATTGGTCCCCTGTTTACGAAGCAGTTTCAGTGGAAGAGAAAACTCATGCCTTCTACAACCTGACTAAGACACTTGTAAATCAGCATCTGCCAGCAAAGGTTTCTGCAGTCAGAGCCTGTGATAAGAAGTGGGTTACCGAACGAGTGAAGCGTGCCATTCTAAACAGAGCTGCAGAGTTCAGACGCCACGGCAAAACTGACAGGTGGAAGCGTCTAAGAAATAAGACCCAGACCATCATAAAACAGGCGAAGTTCTGGTACTACAGAACTTCATACAGCACCTCAAGCAGGAGAACCCTCGCAAATGGTGGAGCTTCGTCAACCGAGAGCTCGGTAGATCCCAAGAACGATCCAACCGTACATCCTTCGAGAATGTGCCAGACCACGACGTAGCAGAAGCTCTGAACCAGCATTTCTCTGAAATGTGGTGTCCTGGGAATGATCTCTATCTGTTTCCCCTTCAACAACCCACCAAGTCTGTTGATCTCTGCTCTATTGGGGAGGTCAAAGCACTTCTTAAGAACGTAAACCCCAACAAAGCAAGTGGGCCAGATGACCTTCCAACCTGGATACTCAAGGAGTATGCGGACGACTTCGCTCCTGTCATTACTCACCTGTTTAACTCCTCTTACGAAGAGGGGTCAGTGCCTGTAGTTTGGAAGGCAGCGAGCGTTGTCCCCATTCCGAAGGTAAAGGGTGCAACCACGCCTAGTGACATGAGACCGGTGTCTCTCCTGCCAGTATTAGCCAAGCTGCTAGAACGGTGTATACTCAAAAGACTGCTTCCCTCCATCACACCCGTCATCACCAATCAGTATGCCTACCTCAAGGGATCGTCCACAGTCATTGCTGTTATCAGAATGGTCCAAACATGGCTAACGGCCCTTGACTCTAAAGACCACACGGTAGTGCAAGCTCTGTTTGCAGACATGAGCAAGGCGTTTGACAGGGTGAACCACTCAATACTTCTCCAGCGAGTGAATGATGTCGTGGGGAGCCCTCGAATGGTAGCATGGGTCCAGAACTATCTGACGGGCCGTACGCAGCGAGTGACCGCAAACAACAACTTCAGCAGCTGGCGCCAACTGACATCCGGAGTTCCTCAGGGGGGTATTTTGTCACCTTACCTCTTCCTCCTATTCATGAGCTCACGTGACACCGGTATACACCAACACACTAGACGTGGGTTATGCGGATGATGTAGGACTGTCCAGGTCCGTCCCTTTGAAGCAAGTCGGCTCAGACAACACCATGACTGAAGAAGCAGCGCAGCTGGATTCCTGGGCCGTAAGGAACGACATGCTCCTTAATGGAAAGAAGAGTCAGCTGTTGCTGATCTGTTCCAGCCGTGGTGTACCAACAATGCCACCGCTCACTCTTGGAGGTGACCTTGTCCCAGTCACGAGTGTCGCTAAAGGCCTCGGTTTCACCTTTGACAGCAAACTGTCCTGGGAGGAACATGTCAGGTCTTTAGTAGCAAAGGCTTCAAGCAGGCTTCATTTCCTGCGATTGTTAACTAAGCAGGGAATGAGTGTGGACGACCTCATACAAGTATACTTGTCACTCATCCGCCCCGTACTGGAATATGGCCACGTTTTACTCGTCGGTTGCAACGTAGCTCTAGCAAACAACATGGAACGAGTCCAACGTCGCGCACTTCGTATCATCTCTTGCGGAGGGAGACGCGACGTACCAGCTCTACCCTCTCTAAAGGAAAGGAGAGAGTCTGCGGCCGTGTCCCTGTTCAGGTCGATGCTAAATCCCGAACACCCACTACACGACCTGGTGCCCCCCCA